AACACACAGTGTAAATTTAGCAGGGGAAGACGCAGATACTAAACAGGACTGAGAGGAAACAGCTGGGAGACATGGCTGACACTGATTACGCAGACAAGACAGGGAGAGCACAAAACTGAACGCACTGACATAAGACATAGACCTTCAAAGTAAAACAGGAAGTACATGACAGACACAGAGATCCAGACTAGACAGTGAGCTTAACACACTCATGAGCAGACATAATAACATCAAGGACAGACGGAACACAGATACGTGGGACCAGGGCAGGCACAGAACAGAAACCTAACAAATGGCAAATCATAATGAAAGACATAACCAGAATAAACAAGAACACAACATATTATGAAGAAACAAAACACTGAGTCCTCAGACATGACAGTTTTAGTGTTACTTTCAGTCTTTTTAATTAATATTGTATGAATGGGCATGTGCCAGGTGCACCCCCATAATGTTTTGAAAGCAGTTGGCTCACAGTCTTGTAGACATTCAGAGTCTCAATAAACACGTCAATCAAAGCCTCATCGGGCAGGTTGTAATAACAAATTGAAAGGGTAGAAAAGCTGCCCTTCACTATAAAGCTAATTAAACATTAAGTTTTAGACTAAGTGCCTCTCACCCCAAAAGGTTAGAGCTTATTAAAAATGCCATTCACCTTCTATGCTTTTTGGTTCTGTGTCTAGAGTTCTCGTCTTGTTCCGAAGTGTCTCTCCAGTGCCATCAATCCAGATGTAGGTGACCTGGCATTTCTGTCCTTGAGGCAGGCTCATGTACTGCTGCCGCACAGTTTTGTTGAGATGAGAGCTGGATGACACTGATGCCATTTTCACCTTCAATTGCAAAAGTGGATAATTACAGTAACAGATGACATTTTTTGACTTTATGGCACCTTCAATTTCCATGTTGTGCTTTTTTTTCTTCCCATAATAATAACTTTTTCAAAGTTATTAAAATGAACCAGCGGCATTACTTCATTTATGCCACGGGTAGCTGTCAAGTCTCACAAGATTAATTTTACACATCTAGTTATAGTTCCACATGAGTTTGACACTCCTGATTTCTAGCAATCAGTTTCAGAATGTAAATATAGTACTATAAGGTATTTAACCAGACACCAAGAAGATAAACATCCAGGGCTTCAAACACATTCACAGACAACCTCTGAGAAATAAAAGAAAACTTAAAGTATTTGAAAATAATATAACGTAATCAGTGATGCACATAATCATACGGTATCTAACCCTAAACAGGAAATTGGACATTATTTCACTTATATGCTACTCATAAGTAGGTCAAACACATTTGAACTTTATCTAATGTATTACAGTTATAATTTGACTAAACTGACTTTTATATATATTTTTTAGGTTCTGTCAGTGCTGCATTCGTCAACAGATAAAGTTGTTGATGTAGAGTGAGTAGTCTTAACAATTTCATATACAAGTAGCTGCTTTGTTTTAATTTACCTTCATTCCTTTTGTTTCCCTACATTTATTTGTATGATGTTAATTACATTTATTGATGTTTTATTACATTCTTGTCTTAAGAATGTAACTTTTAATCAAATATGTCTTAATAAAGTTTTTAGTAACTATTTGTGATAAAAAAAAATGTTTCATTGTTATACTTTCAGATACTAACAGGGCAACTTTAAACATGAAGATTAAGAAAAAAGTAATATCAATCTCTTCCCTTTTTTAGTTATATCTTAATATCTTAATAACTGGAAAACAGTGGCATACCATTCTCAGATTTACATGAAGCAAATTAAACAAACAAAAACAAAGAATTATTTGAGCTTACTCTTTTACAGTGGGTTTCAGGTGAAGAAGTGTCTAGCTTCCGAGTCAAGTTTGAGAATGAGGTGCCTAAACCTGTTTGTGGTATTTAGCCAGAACGCAAGCTAGGCTGCTGATGTCACCTGTTACGTCCTGGCGTAATATGGCATTTAAATACTTTGTGTGGGGTTGTCCATGTCAGCAGCAAACACATACAAGAAAAAAACACATACACTATAATGTTTTGATCAGTCCACAACAAATCCTGCAAGACTGTAAGCGCCTTCAGTACAATCTTTGACAGTATTCCTGCTTCTCTTCTATGGAGAAACAAACCAAATGGTAAACATATTACATTTATACTGTACACACCTCATGTACAAAGCACTGACCTATAAGATCCAAGTATGTGCCCCTATCCAGCCAAACGAAAACAGTGCACAGGTATAGCTCAGGGTATCACAAACTCCCATGGAAAACAGTAAGAAACACCCACCTGATGAAAGGCCATCTGCTGATAGTGACTGACTGCTGTTTGCTGAGCTGAGGGTCTTGCAGCTCACTGAACACAATTAGAGACCAGAAGCTGCTGCTGGCTTCAGTTTCCGTCAGGTTGGCTGTTCTGAGATCAGGCAGAGGGGCAGAAATTCAGCAACTCTAACAGAAAAAGAATTAGTCACATGGGATCCATTGAGGATGTATTGAAGTGTGTGAGATGTAGATGCAGAACAGGCCAAGAGCATAAATAAGAAAAGAGATTGTAGGGCTCACCAGCCACAAGCAAGCAAATTGCTCAGTTGGCATTATTGTAAGACAACGTTTACTTTACTTGATATTGGGTCTGAAAAAGTAGCACTTGTCTCTGATATTTGATGACTACAGCAACCTATTGCTCTGATATTCTTCCTTGTATAGAGAAATACAAACAAAACCACATTTTAGAAAACAAAATACTGGTGGACACCAGTAGATGCACCTGTGGTATATGAAAATCCTAGATGATTTTCAGAAATTGACCTTAACCTTGAGGTTGAGGTTACAAAGTAAGTCTAAAGGAAATGCATTTTATAGATATGTCTTTTCAGTCAAATTAAAAACAAGTTTAAGGAGGGATTACCACATTGCCTTAATGAGACGATCTCATTACTGTGAGCCATCTGCCTTCACTGTGTTGTGTTTGTGTTGTAATATGTAGTGTGAACTGAAAAACATCATTAATACAACATTAATATCACCATATTAATGTAGCACAATAATTCTGATATAAACAAAACTAACCCCTCCCAAAACAAACAAACAAACAAACAAAAACAAACAAGTAGATTGCTAAATGGACTACTATGGATGGATTACTACAAGCCTCATTTGTTACGTCTGGCGCGGCAGACGTGTGGAGTTGGAGAGTAGGACCCAAGATGCAACTTTTGACGAGAGTGAGCTTTATTTTATAAGGTGGGTGAAAACAAACAGAAACAGCAAGGCGAGAATAAAACCTAAACCAGAAAAACTAACAAAATAAACCTGAAACCAAAAACAGAGATGCAGGGATACACAGAGCAAAAACATAAGCCGCCGAGCGATCACGCAGACAAACCAGCAACGCGCACACAAAAACACAGGGCTTTAATACACACAGGGCAATCAGAGAATGGGAAACAGAAGGGGACACGGCTGGCATTAATTGAACACAACGAGACAAGGGGAAGCGAAACTAGAAACACTGACAAAAGAAACAGACCTTCAAAATAAAACAGGAACTCACACATGCAAAGACACAGACTAAGAAACATGGACTTTACACAGAGGAATACACAGGCAGAAATGACTAAACACTAAACTGAGGAAGAACAGAACCGAAAACCAAAGAGCAAGAAAACCAGAACCAAAATACATCACAATACCACAGTAATAGAAAACACAAAACGCTGGGTCAAAAGACCCGAGATCATGACATCATTGCCTTCAAGCCTGTTTAACCTAATAGTCACACAGAAGCATCAGGGGTAACTCAGGGTTCAGTTTCTTGCACTAGTATGCTGCAAAGATTGGCTCTATCTCTCAAGCCACAGGAGAAGCATACCTACTAATCAATGAAACTTTATTGTTTAATGGGCATGTTGTTTATTTCTTGTCTAATGAGTTGAACCTATAACAAAGTGCTACAATATGTATTTTTTAAAACAAACTTATTGAGCTAGTCAGTTCACCTTTAACGTGTCTGTTTTGCCCTGTTGTGGCATGAGGAAACAAGTTCTCAATAACTGGAAATGAGTTCACGACAGTGCTGATATCTGTCACCGTCAACAATCTTTATTTCAGCACTCACAGACGAGGACTCTGTGCTAAACTGATATCCTCTCCATTCACAAGACGAATTCAGATCACCGCACTGTTCTCAAAAATGGCCATTTTCAGAAAAGCAATGCTGTCTTCAGCCCCTCAAGCAACTTATTACCTTTGCCAATAGGGTTACACCATCTTCTCAGTTTATCTGTTTGATTACTTAGAAGAGTTTCATTAAAATTTTAAAAGAGATTTTGTTTTACGAGTCTGCAATGATTGTGAGAAAGAAAGGTTTAGTCATAAGTGATTTTTTCTCTTTGCTTGTTACTATATCTAACAAATAATAATAATAAATAAAACAGCTTAAGCAAAAATTATTTTTGATTTGTTTTTAAGCCAATTCAAACCATATTCTGTATTTGCTAATTTTGCTTCCTATTTGTATTGCCTTACTTTATTTATAAATATTTCTGTCATGCCAGAGATGGAGCTCTGGGGACGGCAGCATTAGTCTGTGAGTCAGTAGTGAAATACAGCATAAAATCTTAGATTAGTTACTCTTAATGTCTGTATGGTATACTCCTGGTACTCAGAGGATGAGTACTGCAGTGCCAGAGTCAGTTCAAAATATCTTGACAGACGTGAAAAACAAAAAACATTCCCATCAGCTTTCTCTATGTAAATGTCAGCATGTTTGAGATTGCTGCGAAGGTTGCAGCAGGTTTCTGTTTGTCTTCACCTTAAGACTTAAGTTCAGCCTGAGAGTCATGCACAAAAGGAAAGTAATAATCGCTACCTCGGTCAAATATGATAATCCCCAAAACGGGACATACAGGTTAGACATCTAGTTAAATACAAAATGTGACGCCACCTTAAAATAGACATGTTTTTTTGGGTGAGTAATTTAGGCGTGTGCTCAAAACTCATCAGGCTGAGTGGATGTACACTTCACTGGTAACTGAACCACTGGAAATAATTGTTTATGATTAATGGATATAATCATGAATGCGTCCACCAATCATTAAAGTTGAAGTTTACATCAGTCACAAGGGCGTATTTGGCATGGACGGAAGGGACACGCCCCCACCAATATCCAGCGATTATTGAATTGTCCCCACCAATAATTTGATCTATTCAAGTAAAGAAAATCAAACCCGATAGAAAGAAAACAAAAACGATCTGTCAACGTCTCATTCACTCAGCGGTGCAGAAAGAGTTCAATTACGTCCTCTACTGGAGTCCTACCTCATGTGACAAATATGGCCAATGTGATTGGCTGTGCCTTTCAGGGAGCTCTGTTTAGTTTTAGCAGCGGCAAGCCTGCGCTGCAAGGAGGAGAGGAGGATGGCAGCAAAAAGGAAGATCCTGGATATAAGTATTTTTCAAAGAAACCTACAAGTCACTTAAAGCCAAGTTAACTCATAAAATGTGTCCGTCACAATAACGTTACAGGCTATGCTAGGCATTGGCCCACATCAGTCTAAAATCATATGTAACCACGATTAACGTGTTTTGGAAACTAACTGCACAACAGGCAGCACTATTAGTTATCTCAGTCTCAGAGCAGCATTTCTAATTTTGACTGAAACTGTCAGAGAAAACGGCAGCTTTGAGCAAGCCAGGATATTAATTTGCTGTTAAAATTATATGTCTAACATTAAAATGTTGGTGACACAATAATTTAATCCTAATGGCACTGACATATTCATAGGTTAATTTTGGAGAAATATCCACCTTGTAGTGCAGTTTGCACAAATTGTTTTAAAAAGGCACTCACCCTTCAAACATTACTGATGAGTCAAGATCTGCACAAATTGACAGAAACACTGAAGCAGCTCCACATTTTATTCTTATTGTCATGTATGTCCTATTTGTCAGGTGACAGAGGCAGCTCTGCCATGTTGTAGCTCAGACAGAGGTGAAGAGGCGAGGTCACAGGTGACTGACTGATGATTTGGTGCTATAGATTAACTAGTATTTATTATCATGACAGTTGTTAGGCTGCTGATGTAAATTGATTCATTAGTGTATATTTGACAAAGAATCTGAATTCACATGTCTCACTTTTTATATGGCACGAATCAATGTGTTATTTTATCAGGTGGCAATATGTCCTAGTGCAGTCAGAGGGGAAGAGCCAGGGCCAAAGGTGAGGCACATCAAGCACAGAATAATAATTGTAATCTGAGGATAAAACGCATGTACTGAGGCTGAAAGAAGCTTCAGTGCTCTCAGAAGACTAAAAACATGGCTAAGGTCAACAATGACTCTTAAACAATGCTGCTGTATGTCCACCAGGAGAGACTGGACAGTATAGATGTAAAACAAATACAGTATGCCAGCAGTTTATCTCAGTTAACAAGAGGAGCAGGCATGTGTTTGGCTCCTTCACATAGTGGACATTGAGTTGTTGTGTGAGACACCAGTAGTCCATGTCTGTTGCTGTAACAGTAGTTCATGTTGAGAATAGAAAGTCTCAGCTCACTGATTTGATCGGGGCAATAGTGCCTAAACTGTTGCATAATTTTGCTGAGAGATCTTTTACTTTGTGGTCATCTTAGATGAATAGTTTTATGGACAAAAACCAGCAGGTCATTCAGTGTTCCCTTAGTGCTAATGTATCAGAGATGTTGGTGTAGTATAACTGAAGTAATGATGTTAAGTCCTTAAAGTCATATTCTTTTATTGTCATGACTGTATGTGAAGCTATTTTTATTTTTGTATGATACCTGATTTATATGGAATATGGCTGAAGTAAACTAAAGCCTAAAATACTTAGTCAGTCATTTGTTTAATA